CAAATAGAGGCACCCCCCTTTCCCATCCCAGGGCCCAAGATTTCCTAACCAATGACTCATTTTCTTTACTCAGGCTTCATGTCAAGCCTTCTCCCAAACAACTCATAAGCTAATTTTAAGTGGATATCTCAGTGAGAAGATACTTTTCCCACCTTCCTCTAGATGGCACTTAAGAGATGACCTGAGGATAAGCCCCAGCAGCACAGTGAGCATCTTGACTGTCCTTCAGGGACATCGCTGTCAGAAGCAGTTACATCAGTGCCTTAGCATACTCCAGATTCACTCAGTTTAAGGGCATAACAAATAACATGCCCCAGGCACGAGACAATGGCAGTGAATCCTTTTCATGCAGACACAATGTCATTGGATCATAGAGGGGTCTTTAAATTATAGTATAGGCCTAAATCTCTCCATTCCCATTTTCCACATCCCATAACCTAAGAGTGGTTTTTACATTTTTAATGGGTCACTAAAAATTACCAAGGCCAACTGCCATCTATTTATGTATTGGATACCCAGACAGGTGAGAATTTATTTGTCCAAAGTCTTGGAGCTAACAAGTACCAGAGCTGGGATTCAAACCCAGGTCTTCTGATTTCAGATCTGGCGCCTTCTGCTATGTTATATTTTTATGTTTTTTATATAAAGACCAATCATTTGGAATGTGGAGAGGCTGGAGAGAAGGCTAAATATCATTTTAATTGACCAGGGTCCTATTTACATGGCTGGTATTTCAAGGGTGATGCCGGGGACGTACAAGCTCTGGCAGGTCTTATCAAGCTGGAAAGTTTTAAAGTAGAAGACCAAGGACAGACAGTCTCCTTTGAGGACCAGTCGAGCTACCAAGTTCGGAGACGCTTAACTCCAGATGATCAAGTTGCCATCTGCATCAGCATATGAAACACACACCTACCCTAAAGAGATTGCAGATCTTTGAAAGTGTTTCACACAATGATAATTGGTCTGAACTAAGCCCTTTTGCATTTATTAGAGTCGTTATATCAGTCAATTAATTAACTTCAGCAAGGCATTCAACAAAGTCTCTTGTGATATCTTTGTGTACAATGGAGAAATATGGCTTTGATAATAGCATAGTTAGTTGGACCTTGAAATGACTAAATAACCAGACTCACAAAGTATTGGTTAACTTGGAGGTGAGACTCCAGTGGAAGATCTTAGAGCAAGTTTTTGTCCAACATTTTTAACAGTGATTTGGGTGAAGTTCTCCCTGGACTCTGAGGCTGGGATTCTATCTTCCTTGGGGTCATGTTGCCTCTATAAGCCTATTCCTTGCTGTCAATCCCAAATCTGCCACTTGTTAACCAAGGTGACCTTGAGCAAGACACTTAACCTCCTTGGGCCTCAGTTTCTTCATTTGTAAAATTAGGGGGCTGAATAAGATCATGGCTAAAGTAGCTCCCAGCTCTAGATCTATGATCCTTGGCTTTGAAATTGGGAGATACATGACCAGAGGCAAGTAATTTAATTTCTTTTAGTCCTCGCATATAAAAAGGGGAGAGTAATAGCTGCAGTATCTATATCATGAAGCTATTGTGGTTATAAAAGTATATGTTACACATAAAAATACATAACACACATACACAAATGTGAGTATATACATTTATGCATCCACATATACATTCACATATAGCTAGTATCCCAAAAGTTTTAGTGCAGTTTCAAACTTTAATAGATTAAAGCTGCACTAAGACATTTTGAACATCATGTGTATGTATATGTGTATGTGTTTGTATGTATAACATATTTTGCATGTTAAAAAAAATCCCAATGATTGGGATGATGATATAGAAGGTATGATAACCAAATGTGCAGATGACTTGAAGATAAGAAGGGTAGCCAATATGTTAAATGATTGAAATAAGATTTAAAAATTAATTTCAATGGGATGGAACAATGAACCCAAACCAGGAAGTGAAATGCCTATTTCAATACTTAAATCACAGAAATGCAGATTTAGAGTTGGAAGGAACGTTGAAGAGCATTAAGTCTAATCCCCTTATTTTTCAGATGAGGAAACTGAGGCACAGAGGGCTGTCTTGTCAACAACTAATAAGTATGTGAGATAGGATAGGAACGCAGGTATTCCTGACTCCAAGTCTGGACCCATCTCCACTACACTTCAAGGACCTGCGACTGTTTCAGTCTGTCTACTGACTCAGACTGCAAACCTCCCATGCTTTAGTCCAGGGGTATCAAACTTGTGGGCAACATGCCTGCATTACTCCCAAGTGCTACCTGAGTCATATTAAAATGGAAAATATTTAACAAAATAAATAAAAATACAATAAAATATAGTGTTACATTTTAAAACTAAGTCAATATGTGGCCTGAAGGGATTAGTGGGCCCCTATCTCTATTTGAGTTTGATGCTGCTGCTTTGGTTGACCATCTTCAGGATGGTTATGATCTTCATGAGTCGCTATGTTTGAAAAAAACAAACAAACAAACAAGAGCCATCACTCAATATCCAACTTCCCAGTGATGATTCTTCCTGAACTTAAGTAAGCTCATCTTTCAATGACAAACAGTTCATTGCTAGGCTCATACAAGAAAACTTTTCATTTGGGGAGGACCACTCATAGCTTGTATTGCATTAAAAATAAACATAAGGTCTTGCAGTTAGGTTTAAGAAAACCAAGTTGTAAGAATAGGATCAGCAATGTCTGACTTGAGAGCAGTATAAGCAAAAACCACAAGACTGTTTCCCCACAATCAGAGCTCAAGAAAAACTAAAAGGACAGTGCAGTCGCTAAAAATGTGAGGAAAAATTCAGTTTGTATCAATGAAAGGTTAAGGGAGATAACAGACCCATTGTACTTTGCCCTGGGCAGAGCACATTTTGAATATTATTTCTTTTCTTGGGACACTTTAAGATGGATGTTTACAAACTGGTGAAAGGTATCAGTTCCTTTGGTCTAAAAACATGGTAGCAAATCTGTGGAGGTGGGAAGGTGTTGGTTGCTCCCAATAGCTCTAATAAACACCTCAACTTCTCTCCCTCTCTTAGGCTGCCTCTTAGCCAGTAAAAGCGGGGAATGTGCAGGCCTCTCAGCTGGTATTCTTTAAATTGATCCTCATACTTGGTTGTTAAGTGATGGGTATTGATAGCAGGGAAAGAAAATGAACCAGGTGAGGCAGGTTATGGAAAGAGCCTGAGGTCTCTGGGGAATGTGGTTAGCTGGGAGGCTTTCCATTCATGTTCATATCTGTGTGTCCCAGTGCATACCACTGAGAAAATCCATGGGCATTAGGCTGTGTTCTGAGGTCTTAGAGCCAAGTATCATAGCAAAGGGCTAAGCAAGGATGATTGTGTCATAGGGACAGCAACAGCTGTGCCCTTGAGACCTTCTGAGTCCTTGCCTATTTTCTCAGGCATACCCATGTTAGCAATTGAGAAATTCTTATAGTTTTGAAATTGTGTCATATTAGGAATATTTGAGAGACTTAGGGAAGTTTTTTTTTTCCAGGAAGAGTGGATATTTGAAGGGTTGTCATGTGGAAGAAGAAGTAGGTATTCCATGTGTCTTCAAGGTTTGAAATTTGAGTTCAATATAAATGAGCCTAAGCATCTACCAATTACAGACATCCATCAATGCAAGAGGCTATTTTTCAAAATAGTGAGCCTCCTGTCAATAGAGATATTTAAATTACAGTTGTCATGATTGTAATAGACGAGATTCCTACACTGAATGAACTAGCTTATCCTTAGATTTCCTAAATTTCTATTATATATAATTCTATGATAAGATTTAAATTCCTCATGCTAAGATTTCTGCACAATTACAAACTGTTTCTACACAACATTTCTACACAATAAAACTATTAATTAAGTCATAGAACCTCATTTAAACTAAAAATATTAGGTGGAGTCAAGAGACTTGGGTTCTAATGCCAATTTTGCCTCTGACTAGCTATACTACTTTGGGCAGGTCCTATGTAGACTTCAGCTGCCTTTTCATTGTGAAATTATAGTGTACCAGATGAGCTCTGAAGTACTTTCTTTCTGATTCTGAAACTCCATGACCTGTGGCTTCTAAGAACTAACCTTCCTAAGTGAAGTATAAACAAAACTTTAATTAATCAGAGAGCTAATTGTTCTTTCCTGTTGGGTCCTTAGCTATGACAAACCCTCTCAGGCATGAGTGGAAAAATTTATAAGTATGCAAGAACACACCCATATGTACACACACACACACACACACACACACCTTAGAGAACCATGTAACTTAAATTCTTAAATTATAGAAGAAAATTGCCGAGGCTAGTACCATGGTCAAGACCCTCAAGGGGGCTGGCTAACATTGACAAACTATTCCAACTATATGTCCTGTGTTTCACCTTGGGCAGAAGCGGATCAGAGAATTACCTTGAATTACTGACTCAGACAGCATTTGAGTTTCTGAATTAAATTTAAATATGGTTGAGATAAACAATGTGACCTTTTCAACACCAGTATGAAGAGAAAGTGACATAATCAAAGCAATGGAAAGAACCTGGGTGAAATTAGATTCTTCATCACAGCCCATAAGGAGAGCTGGACTATTTGCCTTGATGAAGAACCAACCATTCTCCAAAAATTTTCACCTAAGACGCTCATTATAATTATAACCATAAAATCAAAACTCAATAGACCTAATACATTTCCTATAACTACAAAGGGCAGATGGTCTATGTATGGAGTTAGAGTTCTAAATCTGTTGGTATGTGTGTATTTTGCAGGCATCCATATGTTTTGGTGTATAGACTTGTGTAGACGCCTGAGGAAGTACATAAATATATACAGCATGTCTGTACCTCACACAGTGCCAAGAGCACACATACTCTAAGGAAAGAGAAAAAGAGAGTATGTCAGAGGAAAAGAGGAATAAAGGAAAAAAGAGAGAGGTGGGATTGAAAACAGAGGAAGAGAAGTGAGAGAAAAGTGAAGAGGGGAGAAAGAGAGAGGGAGAGGGAGGAAAAAATTGAAACAGTTGACTTACAGACTTTGGCTTGTACGGGGGCTGAATCTCCTTGCGTTCAAGTTTCTCCCAGTCAATATACCGGAAAAATGCATGTTCCTTAATATCTCGTTCACCTTCAGGCCCACATCCCAGACGTTTCCCGGGGTGCTTGGTCATCAGCTTAAAAAGAAAGAGAAACATTTCATTCAACTGGTTTCAGAAATATAAACAATATGCTGAAACACTATTTCCCAGTTGAATTAAAGGAAAACAATTAAAGAATTTAAAAGTTTTGCCTTCTCCCCATCCATCCTTCATCCAGCTGCTCTTGCCAGCATCTGCCTGTCTCTCAGCAGCACCAATATCTAATGCAACTTAATCTCATAAAGAAGTCTCTCAAACAAAACCAAGCCGAAGCCTAATCAAATGTAAGCTCCTAGAGGGCAGGAATTGTTTTTCATTTTATGTTACCAGTGCTCAACACACTGACTTGGACATTTTAATTTTGGAAAAAGATCTCTGGCTTCCTTGGCGGAGAGAATTCCTGATACGAAAGCTTCTTCTACCAATTCAGATTTATACCTGCTTTCCAACTTAAACTATTAGACAGTTTCCTAGGGCACTGAGAAGTTAAATGACTTACCCAGGGTCACACAGCCAGTATGGGTCAGAGAGGGAACTTGACCCCAGTCAGGTCTTTCTAATTGCAAGGCAAGCTATCTACCAAGTCACACTGCTATGCTGCCAAGTGCCTTGGACATAGAAGGCACTTAATAAATGTTGGGTTGGTTTGGTTTTTAACTATTGGACTACTAAAACACAGTGTTTTCTTGCAGGAACAAATTTTGTGAACTTATAGGTGTAATCCATGAGGATGGCTTTAAATCCTTCAAATTACATAGTCTGCTACATAATAAAATCATTGTAGAATGTCAGAGTTGGAAGGTATTTTAGAGATCATCATCTATGAAAAATTGGGGAGGAGGGACCACTAGATCTGTTTCCCCTCTGCCATTTTTCATAGGTGATAAATTCTAAGCTACCTTCCAATTACAACACCTTACCCGTTTTTCATGTGGGAAAGGAGAGCAGAGCTAGTGGCTCCCCTCCCCCATTTTTCATATGAAGAAATTGGGGTCCAGAAAAAGGAAGTGACTCAGTCAGGGTAAGTAGGGAATCAAACCCGGTATCCTGTCTCCCAGTCTGGGGCTCACTCCACTACATGAGGCTGCTTGCCTTAAGAAACTGCCAAAATATTACAGCAAACATTGGTCACCAGTAATTACTTTTTAAAGCTCATTAAATAGTCAAAACACACATAGCTCTTTTTTTCCCCTGGATCACACACCAGGCTCAATTCCACTGAGATTTCTCTGATTTGCTGTTTAAATTACTTAGTTATCAACCTGACATCTTTGTATCTTTGAGCTAGTGCAAAAAAACAAGATGAATAGCAGCTCTGAGACACAAACAAAACAGCCTTCCTTTTTTAAACCAGTATAAAATGGTGTGAAAATTTATTTGATCTCAAGTCTTCAATATATTTGGGGGCAGTTGTGAGGGGCAGCTGGTATAGTAAAATGAGGATTAGGCAGTGAGTGAGTGAGGAAACCCAGGCTTCAATCCCCTCCTTGCTACTCACTCTTTACAAGAATGACCTTTATAGAGCAAATCAATTTACCTTTCTGGGTCTCAGTATCTCCATCTGAAAAATTGGACTGATTCACATCATAGGGTTGTTATGAGGAATGCTCTTAGTAAATCATTAAACACTATAAATATTGTTATATGTAATAATATATTATATTAAATGTGAGCTGTCAGTCTTATTTAACAGTGAGTGTGGGACTGTGGAAAAAAACAGTGGTGAGCAAGAAGGCATTCAAAGGAGATGGAAAAAGCTAATGAGGAAATAGAAAATACTAAATAGCAGGCATTTATTAAATACCTACTATATACAAAGCACTGAGCTAGATGCTGAGGACATACAAGCTTTATAAAAGGCAAGGTCATTGCCCTCATTTAGTCTAAAGTCTAGTAGAGAGAAAGGAAACCTACACAAATAATTGTAATACAAAATAATGTAACATTTCCAATCAATTCAACAAACATTTTTGGGGTGCTTAGTATATTCGAAGCACTGGGAACATGAAGAAACAAATAAAAGAGGCCCTGCCCTTGAGAGTTTAAGAGGGATAAAGGACATGTAGGTAAACAAAGATTGTACAAAGAAAATGTAGGTGGGAGAGAGCACTGGATGGATTGGGAAGGTTGTATCTTGGGGGAAAAATGATGCTCAGTGGTGAAGATGAGGAGGGAAGTCATTTCAGGCACAGGAAGCAGCTTCTGTGGATTCAACAAGGTGGGAGATAAGAGTATCTAGATCAGGTAACATCTTGACTGCAATATAAATGTAAATTTGGTAAATGGGTATATAGGGAGATAGCAAGTAGGAGCCAGATTGTGAAGGGTCTCAAATGTCAGACTAGGGAGTGTGCATGTTATTCTATAGGCATGGTACGTGAGTAAAAGAGGAACAAAGGAGTCTTGGGGGAGATATGATGGTGATGATGATGATGGCTACTAAGAAGAGGACTGTGGTGGTGATAAGGATGATGATGAGATGAGGACTCTCTGTCTCAATCATGCTGGAAGTGCAGTGGCCACTCATGGGCTGGAGCCCAACATTGATTGGTACAAAAGCTTTGCTCAGCTCTATTACTGACTTGGGCCATGTTGCCCCTCCATAGAGCAATCTGGTAGCCTTGGGCTGCCAGGGCTTCACCATACTGCTTATAGACTTAATGTGGAATCCAACTGACTTCAGCCCTACTACATCTCAGAATTCCCAAATTCATTCATTCCATGAGTCTCAATCTCCCTGGTAGCAGGATTACAGGCAAGTACCACCACATTTGGCTAGAATAGTCATTTTTGAAAGATGGAGTCAGAGAAGGTTTTTCTGGAAGAGATGACTTTTGAGTTGTGGTGCGTGAAGTGCATAGGAGTTCAATAGGTGGAAGTGCATTTCAAGCATAAGGAACAACATGAACTGAGATTCAGAGGTAGAAAAATAGAATGGGTTGCCAGGAACCCAGGTAGTGGGTTCCCCTTCATTGAAGGTCTTTAAGCAAAGGCTGGATATACTACTCGTTGAGTATACTATAAGGGGCATTTTTTTCCAGCTATAATTTAGACTGACCTCTTCCATCTCAGAAATTGTGTGTGTGTGTGTGTGTGTGTGTGTGTGTGTGTGTGTGTGTGTGTTGTGAAGTATGTTCCTACAGGAAACAGAAAATAAAGTAGTTTCGGTGGAATGGAGAATGTGAAAAAGAGAGTAGTACTGGATCATGCAATCTATGATAGTTTCCTAGTCACAAAGTGGAATTCAATAAATAGTTTATCAGACACAATATTAGAATTACACATTCATGGGAGGCATCATGGTGGAATGGATAGAGAGTCAAGAAGACCTGGGTTCAGGGGACATCTCTGGCTCCACAATCCTAGGCAAGTCATAATCACTCAGTGACCCAGGCAAATCTTTAATACTATAAATTGAAGAGAAAGTACTAATTTGCAGTAATAGAAGGAGCTTCCTCACCTGTTCTCTATGTCAATGAAATCACAGGTTTGGTTCCTAGCCCTTTCCATATATATATTAAAAGTATTCATATGTGTTGAGAGATACACCTCTGTGTGTGTGTGTCTATGTACGTGTGTGTGTGTAGATAGATAGCTAAATAAATAGATATTGCATAGATGCTATGAAAGAACCACTCTTTTCCTGTGTTGACTTTTGAATGTAGAAGAGGTAGCTTCATAAATATACTATTATAAATATATTTGGAAGTAGAGTTATGACCAGGCCTCTGTGATCTGACTTCTCTAGATTGGTCTCCAAGGTCTCCATTCTTCTCACTCAAGTACTAAGACATCCACTAACCAGGGATTTCTGCCCTTCTGGGTTGAAATAAGCCTCCCTAAGACTGAGTCAAGTGGCAAAATTATCTGGGAAGACACATTCATACCGGTGTCCTCTACCTCCAGGGACATGCTGACATCTCACATCTGCAAAGTGCTCCCCATTACAACTTGAGTCAGTCTGAGTTAGGTTAAGTTTCTTATTTTGACATTTCCTCATTGCAATTAAGTAGCAAGACCTTGTCCCAGAAATTCCAAGGGAAGTGATTGGATCAGCAGATCACTAGCGTCAGAGCTGCCTCTGCCATTGCCTTGTATATCCTAGTTGCCAATTGCTTTCTTGAGGAGGAATCAATTGATAACATTCATTTATTAAGTGCCCATTATATGTCAGGCACTAAGAATACAAAGACAAAAAAGGAAACAGTTCCCACTTTCAGGGAGCTTACATTCAACTGGGGAAGACAACACAGTCACCTATAAGTATAAACAGAAAAAACACTAATTAAAAAGAAAGATGAAGTAGTCCAAGGGAGGAAGGGAACTAGCAGTTGGAGGGATGGGCTTCCAGTAGATCAGAAAGGCTTCTGGTACCAGATGGTGCTTGATCAGAGTCTTCAAGGAAGTAAAGGATTCTACAGGGCAGAGATGAGGAGGCAGTTCTTTTGGAGAATGGGGAATGACAAAGGCATGAAGACATGAGATGGAGGGCCATATGTGAGGAACAGAAAACTGGCCAATTTGGCTGGACAGTAGAGTATGGAAAGGAAAACAACACATCACAGAGCTGGAACTTGGATAAGGGTCAGGTTGTGAAGGACTTTACAAGTTCCAATTGAGTTCATATTTTGTTTTAGAGGCAGTAAGGAGGTGCTGAAGTTTATTGAGTAGAGCAGTGACATGGTCAGACCTTTATTTAAGGAAAATCACTTTTGTATCTGTGTAGAGAATGACTTGGA